TGGCTTGTGAAAGAAATGCCTATATATACATATGTAAATACAGTAGCATCTGGTTATAACGACTCCGCTTATACCGTATGGTTATTAAGACGAAAATTCTGGTCCCTAGACAAACTTACATATATGGTTATAGCGTCTCCCAGTTATAGCAACGGTTCCTTTAGCACTGTTATAACCGAACTCTACTATATATAAATACAGTGAGTAACATTAATATTCGGTTTTTTTATTTTTCAACTTCAGCGGACCATTAAACATGTAATATAAGTTGAAATTAAACAAGTGAAAATGCTAAATTGTAGATTAAAGAATTACCTTAACGATGAGGTATTTATCAATATATTGTAAAATATTTAATATAACTAACAAACATTATATATAAACCGAAAAAAAACAAAATTTGGCGTTATTTTATCGGTTATTCTTTAACTATTGACCAAATTCGAGTTCTCTTAAAAACGGCATATACATGCATACATAAATATATGTAAAACCTTCTATAAATATCAATATCAATTAAATTACATACATACAGTTATGTATATGTCTATTTTATGTTCATATACATATAAACATATATCTATATACTCATATGTCTATTTCTTAAGCTTAAAAAATGTGTTTTTCCCAGCTGTCTAAGCTAGAATTTTTTGTTGTCCTATTTGATTACATTTTGTTCTCTGTTATTAGTCAGAATTCAGTGTAATTGTATTCAAACCAATACAAATAATTATATATTGAGCGGAATTGATCCTAAACATAATTTTTGCTTAATAAAATATGATTCTGAAGAAATTTATTTAAATGATTTGCTGATTGCTATGACTGATGGATATGAATAAAAATATAAGATTAGGGTTCCAAAAACAACATTTTAGACAGAGAATTAGAAAAGAACCCATAAGAATGTTGCAGTCGGGCATTATCGGTATAGAAAACAGTTTTAATTAATTAATTAAATGTAACTCAAAATTGTTAAAATTAAAATTTGGGTGACTAGATAATCCCATCCCTCGCTCTCTCAGCTTTATAGCCGTGTCTTATGACACACGCATAATTTCTTATATATATGTGTAAGTGACATATATATATTTGAATATTAATTCAAGTGTCCTATATATATGTCTCTATATATTTATGTTGCCAGCAGTTGTGCCGCAGGCATTCATCAGTTTAATGAACCCACTTCTTGAGAATTGCAATTTCTTTTATTTATTTTTATTGGGCTCTCGTCTTGGCCTGATTTCTTCGCTGGCGTTGTTGCAATTTGTCCAGTGCAATTGTTCCCGAGCTCTTAAGCAATTTCTTCTCTCGCTGTTGCTTATTTTATGTGCTTATTTTCTTTTATATTTTATATTTGACAACATTTATGGCAACTGGCAGCAGCAACAGCCAGGGCCACATGCAATTGGGTTAATTGTGGCTATAATTCGTGTTTAAGGCCTTTCCCATGAAATACACGTATATACCCTTTTTAGAGGGACTTACAGGGTGGAGGGGGGGGGGAATGGTGAAAGGGGGGATCTTGCACGTACAAATTGCATTTGCATGTTGTGCAAATTGCAGTTAAATTCAAATAAATCATTTACTTTTCTCTCTTTTTTTTTTTTTTTTGATTTTTGCCCACACTAATAAATTGCCTTATAATTATATTAGGAATTGTTATTTTCGTTGTAT